TTCTTGTCAAACTAATTAGTAACAATTTATATGTAATTATTTATTTGTGTTGTAAGCTAGACTTTTTCTACAAATAAAAATGATGGATATATTTTAAACAAATTTTTAATAGTTTGTGCTATTCTAATTAAAAAGTAAAATAGTTTCTTCAAATTGAAATATCAAGGATTGCTCCCTATTGTACATGGATCACAAAAATGAGTGTATTATACATCCTTTTGTGAGCATTGCATGGCTTGATAAGATGGAACAGAAATGGGATTTCCTGAAAAAAAAAAAACTTGGGGTAACTGGACAAATTGTTGAGAAATACAAGCCAAAATGTTGTCATTTTTACACTGGTTTCTATGGTGAAATTATTTCTTTGTCTTTTAATTAAATATGTTCAGTGACATGCAATGAATTCTAATATTGTTGAAACATCTGATGAAATTGACAGTTTCCAGTGTAATAATAGTTTCCATTGCTGGTATATACAAGAGAAAGCTCTCTTCCACTTATACATTTTTTGTTTGTGTGGTAACATGTTCAGTACTGCAAAATTTGAATTTGGCTTAATCTGTCTTAACAGATAATTTGGTGGTTTTGCATGCAACTAAAAATGAACCATGTTTGTGACTATTAATTTTTTTTTTTTTTTTTCATCAGATAATGTTACCCTAAAGTGGGTATTCGAAACAAGTTAACTGAAGTGAATAAACTAGAAGTCAACATGGATAATAGTCGTGTATTAGTGGAGCCTGTTGAGAGTATAGAACTTGATGAAGTTGGCCAAGCCAAACAGGGCCAGCTTACATTCCTGGAGATATGCAACGAATTGCACACACAGAAGAACAAGGAGAGGCTTATCCAGTCGGTATTGTTTCCACTAGGGATGTGCCGACTCATGTAGCTCAAGGATGTCTAAGAATCGCTCTGCAGCCTACATCAGATATGCTGAACAATGATAGTTCCATTGAACAACAGACAGAAATGGCAACCTGTTGTTCAGCAGCCCCTTATAGTTCAGATGCTGGAAGGCAGTATGATAAGGATGAAGCGTTGTCGATTGTTATCCAAAAACTGACTGAGATAGTACATGGGAATAATAAGAAACAACAAGAGCAATTGGAATCTTCTTGCTCTGCTGATAATGATGTTTCTGTAGAAGGTCCAGTCTGTGAGGGAACTAAGAATGAGGATCAGAGTTCAGGTGTTGGGCAAATGCTTCAAGTTAGTGGAGATGAAATCAATGCTGACAAACTTTACAAGTGTCCGACCTGCCCGTGTTTGTTTGCATTAAATGTGGATCTCGAGGCAGGACAGAAAGTTCCTGTGTGCGAGTGCTGTGCAAGTAGATCTAAACGGGATGGCAATACCAGTCAAGATGAAGTTTATTTTGTTCCGGAGCCGGAACTAAAGGATTTCAAGTGCAACATGTGTGATTTCAAAACATTAGGGAAAGCATTGTTTTATGCACACTTGAGAACGCATACCGATGATGAGGTGTTCAAATGTAAATTATGACTATGCCACAACAATGAAGAACCTCATGACACGACATCAAAGAACTCATGAGATTAGTCGAAAGTACAAATGTAATCAGTGTGACTTTGTCACTGTCGAATTGTCTGTCTTGCAAGACCATCTCAAAATCCATAATCAAAACCAGGAGTTGATGTTGAAATGCTCGGAGTGTGGTTACTCGTGCAAATGTGAAGAACTTCTCCGAGAACACATGTGGAAACACATTGACAAGATTGCACCGCATGGGATAGTGCAAGTGCAGATGGAAGGTGCGCAGAATGAAGAGCCTGCTAAGCCAGCTGATGGTGATCAAGTATCAAGTGATCCCTCACCTTTGTCTAACTCTCCTGTTAGCAGTCAGACAGTTGCTTCAAAACCACAGCCAACATGCACCATCACTTTTCAAGTGTCTGTTGTGCGGGTACGTGTGTGAAAAACTTTGTACATTGAAAGCTCATGCTTGGAGGCATGCTGGAGAGGAAGGCTGTCCTATCCAAACATAGAAGATTTATTTTCTGCTATTACCGAGTCAGGCCAGCCTCAGAAGTCGACAGCTTCTTCTACGTCTCAAATAACTACGTGCTGTGGTCCAAAAGGTGGTAAAACTTGCTGTGAGATGGGTTCAAATATCAGCAAGTGTCAATGCGAGCCTGTCAGAGTCAGCTCCAAACACTTCCCAACTATTGAAAATCTGATTTCAACTGCATATGCTAGAAAATACATTCAGCCCCAAATTCCTCAGATCATTAGAACAGCTGTGACTGAAATAAATGAATCAGATCAAAGTATGGCAAAACAACGAATGGAATCGTCATCTGGAAGTGCTTCCCCTGTTAATAGTAAGTGTGTAGAGAAATTGTCAGTTAGTAACACAGACAGCTCTGACAAACTTAACAGCAAGGAGCTTTCAGCAAGATCTTCAATAGCTTTGCAGGAAGATGTAAACACCAATGATGTCAGTAGCATTCACCCCAAAGCCACTGCATCTTTGCAGCAGCTCATCTCGAATACTGTAGAAAGTCAGATTAACAAAGGGGCCACTGGTTCTAACAGCACACACAGTGTTGACAAATCTGAGTTACTTCAGACGTGTGAAACTGCCCAGGGAATAGATGATCAACAAAAACAGCCATCTGAGGTCAGTATCAAGAAAGAGGACATTGGGTGTGTTATTGTTGAACATACAACCACCGATGAGAAGATGAATAGCAATAAGCACAGCAGTGGCAGTTCGTCCGGCAACACTGGTGTGTCCTGTAGTAACTTGCTAGCATCTTTACTTCAGAAATCTAGGCAAAAAGTGCTTGGAGAATCGCCTGAAAGCATACCAAAAACGAGCACGAAACACCCCTCAGCTAACAAAGACAGTTTGGAGTCACTCATAGCTGCAACATTAGCTGGTTTGAGGAGTCAAAAAGCAGTCAGCACTCCACTGGAAAAAACACCCCCGCTTGAGGATGACCATAAGTTAAAAAGTACAGCATCAGTATTTATTCCACCAGTAGCTAGGATACACGAAGAACCTTCAACCAATATGGAGTCTACCAATATGGAGATCAGTTGCTCAAATTACAAGCCAGATTCTCTTGACTCAACTGAATGTATTGAAAATGTTGTTGAGATCGAGGATCAAACTGAAGTCGTTGTCAGTGATGACCCATCAGAAAAAGGGAAGAAACGGCCCGGGACAGTTAATGATGCTGGAATGGTTACTCGCAGTAAAAAAAGAAAAGCTGGTGCTGTCAGTCCTAGTACTTTCAGTGAAGACAGTAACGATAGCACTTGTTCGAGATCTGCCGGTATCAGCAGCTCTTTGTTGACTGTTATTGAGCGATTTCATGATAACCCAAATGTTTCAAGGGAAGAAATTTTGGAAAAATTAATGGACACATCTAAACCTGCTGGTGGCGGAGTGCGAGATGTGGACATGAGGTCTGTGGACCTCGACGGTATGATAGAAACAGTGGATGACCTGACACGGCCATTCCGGTGTAAACTGTGTCATTACAGTAGTACCAATAAAGGCTATGTGAAACAACATCTGAGAATGCATAAAGAGCGAGTGCCCTATAAATGCCCACTGTGTGACGTGATTGGGGAATCAAGCAATGATCTTCAGGAGCACATGATGGACCATTGCAAACAACGTACATATCAATGTACCGAGTGCTCGGCTACATTCTCGTACAAGAGTCAATTGCGAGCACATGTCAGGGGACATAACGAACGTGTTCCTTTCATGTGCGATACATGCGACTATGAGACGTGCACCTCATCGTCATTTCGTACACACCTCCGAACACACACTGAAAACAAAGTATATACATGTTCAGCATGTAACACAACTTTTAACCAAAGATATCTGCTTCGGCAGCACAAGCAGTTATGTGAAATGAATAAATTGTACTCTTGTCAAGAGTGCGATTTTACGGCTGATTCGAAAGAAGGTTTAGCAAAACACCTTGAAGAGCATGTGAAGCCGTACAAGTGTGAGATTTGTGACTACAGTTCAGCAACTATGAATGGAGTGAAAAACCACATGAAATTTCATGCCACAGAGAAGCCTTATCGGTGCCAATATTGCAACTTTGCTGGACCTTACCCGCAGAGTCTACGATCCCACATGAAAAAGCACTACGGTGAAATGCAGAATTCGCAACAGCTAGAGCAATACAAGTGTAACCTTTGTGGCTATATCTGTAGTCACCTCCCGTCTTTAAAATCCCACATGTGGAGGCATGCCAGTGAGCCTAATTACAACTATGATGTCACCAACAGTGTCATCAATGCCGCCTTGGATTACGATACAAAGCAGATGACCGGGCCACAGCAAGAGAAGAACGTTACAAAACCAGCTGCTCTCCCCGAGAAAAAGAATCTGGAAGAGAGTTCGATTGAAGTTGATAGCGAATCGTTGTTACACGTTAAACAGAACAAAAATAAGGGCTTTGAATATTGCTTGGTAGCATTCCGTTGTTGTCAATGTGGATTTGAAAGCATAGACAAAGCCATATTAACTGAACATATGAAAACACACTCGGGAGAAAGTCAAATGACAACTCCAGCGACGCAAAATGTCTATCAATATCGACCAAAGCAAAAACAACATAAACATCAAGGTGGCGAGGGTACTTCAGTCATGAACACACTTGAGACTCTCGCTGATGGCATTGAAAGATGCCTAGAACCTGATGCAATACAGGTAGCACATCAAGAAGAAGTAGCAACTGAAATCTAGTCCTGGTTATTATCCTTCATCATTGTAGACTAAATATCTGTCTATTCTAAGCCACTTTACGGCCATTTAGAGTTGAGCCTTTCTGTGTTTTCTTTTCAACTTTAGCTGAATACCAGGTTCTAACAGATTGTACAAATAGCAGAAAAATGCAATCTTGTCTTTTTGTGAATGAATTTTGTGAGACGATTTCCTTTTACACTACAAATAATATTTTATAATTAATCAATTAAAACTTTCATATAACTTTAAATCTATATTCTGTAATAATTTTATGATATCTAAGTCATTATATTATTAGGATTACCTTATTTTGCTCTTTGCTGGTAAATTTATCTGGATATTGTACAAATATTACATTCAAATAGATGCATGTTTGAAATTTATCTCTAATTCAAAAAAAATATATTATTATTTAACAATGTTTTTTATATATTTGATCAAGCATGTACACAAGCTGTAAGGTCTTACTTGAAGAACTTTCTCATTGAATCTCTTTATCAAGCTGCTTTTTTATGTTTTGGCACAGCGAGTCTTCTAATCCTTGTTGAGAATTTGGATTCACTGTTCCCAGAAAAAAACAAAACAAATCTGTATGCAAAAAATTGCCTACACTGTTTGTAGCTTTTCAGGTCACCGATTTCACTACTTGGTATTGTTATTCTGTCTATGAATCCTGGTGGTACTGAGAATAGGTGAAGAGAAACAAAAACAAAATATTTGCATTTCAGTTAATTTAAATCATTGAAAGTCAAAATGGAAAAATCAGCAATTTGAAGGAGATTTGGTGTGCATGCTTGACATTCATATTATCTTTTCTGATTAGTTCTTGGTATTGGTAACTTGAAAATTGGCGAATAGTCAAGGAGTGGTTGCCCTGTATTTACTAGTAATGTTGCATGTGTTCATGATTTGACAGCTTGCGGAAGTTGAATTTCGCGAAAGTGGTTGGGACTGCCTCTGAAATAAATGTTCATGAAATTTGATATGCAAAACTGAAATGGTTACAGTATATACCTTTTTACTGCCATTATCAACTTTGGCATAGAAATGTTTGATCTCTGAAGATGTACCTTTGAGAATTTCTGGTATAACATATAAAATTTGCTGTTACTTTGCTCCAAAGTCTTGCAATGAAGATAAAAAAACTAAAATAAGGCTGCTCCATACATGCCATGTAATTTGTGGTGTGCCACCAAAATACACTATTTCACCTCAAGCTTGTGCCCACCAATTTTGTATTAATATCTCCTGAGATAAAGATTTCTAGATTTTATATTATGTATTTATAAGTTTTCAAATTATTTCATTTGTCCAATTTAATTATTCCATGTCTGTTGTTAATTGCTTTTTGTATTGTATTAATTCTATTAATTGCACTTCATTTATTTTAAACTTTTTACACATGCAAAAGAAAAACGATACCTGCCTCTGTATGTAGTGAGGATGTGTGATCCCTGTAAAAATGTGAGGAATGTTATGTCATCTAAAACTTTGGCTTCTCACTGAAAAATATTTCTTTAAATAAGGCTTATTGAGAATGCTGGTGAATATCTCTGAATGCTCTACTTTATTTGTTTTGATAAACGGTTACATAAAACGTGCATTTCCAAACGCGCTAATGTGGTATTTCGATCAAAAATAAAACTTGGGGGGAGGGGGAAGCAAAAATCTTTTTATTTTTACCAATTCTAGTTTATGCACTAGTCAAAAAAGTACATTATGCAAAAATGTATTTATAAATAGTTTATCAGTATCTGTGATTGGTCGACGACTGTCGGTACCTAATGATGAAGCATTCTGGGAATTTAAAACTTTCAGGTTTTTGCAGGTGATGTCACTTATTTTTGATTTATTTGTATGGGACATATCCAGAGGGCAGTATATTGTAGTATACTTTTTAGCTCCGCTGTCGACTTTGTCGAGCGGAGCTTATCATATGAGTGATTGTCTGTCGTTGTCCGTGTCAATGTTTTACTTTTTCGACTTCTTCTTGAAAACTACAAACCTGAATGCTTTGATACTTGGTGTATATGTACCTTGGGTAGACCTCTCTTAGGTTTGTTCATTTCATGTTGATATCTTCAATTTTCTAATTTTGGTGAATATTTTTGTCATTTTTGGTAAAAAGTGATATTTTCGACTTCTTGTTAAAAACCGCAAGTGCAATTGCTTTGATATTACATGTATAGGTACTACATGTGGACCTCTCTCAGATTTGTTCATTTTGTAATGATATCTTTAATTCTCTAATTTTGGTGAATATTTTTGTCATTTTTGGTAAAAAGTGATATTTTCGACTTCTTGTTAAAAACCGCAAGTCCAATTGCTTTGATACCACATATATAGGTACTACATGTGGACCTCTCTCAGATTTGTTCATTTTGTGATATCTTCAATTCTCAATTTTTGGTGGATATTTTTGTCATTTTTGGTAAAAAGTGATATTTTCGACTTCTTGTTAAAAACCGCAAGTTCGATTGCTTTGATATTACATATATAGGTACTACATGTGGA